TGAGTGAGAACTGAGGCATGCATGTAAGGCCGGGGTTACAGTGAGCTCATAAAGGGAAGGCTGGGGCTTATCTTCGTTTGGAGTTGCCAGAAGATTCCATGAAGCATCACAGGAGACTGGGGAAATGAGAGGAAGGGAAGGAAGCTACCACTGGGTGCCCTGGCAAGACGTCGCCACCCTGGGCTTGTGGCACTGAAGTACCTCTACTAGTTGCAGGGACCCAAGGCAGAACACAAGCCTCGGAGGTATGAAGTGAGAGGACCGCTGTACTTACCCACTAATTCCCATTAGTCATTGCTTTAGGATTAATGGCCGGGGCCCAGCTCTTTTGTTCTCAGGCCATTGAAAGCAGTTAGTTGGTACATGATGGTGACTGCTGGTGGGATATGGTGGCCATTCATAGCTTCTGCCAAAGGGACCAGCTTACAACATCGGGGGACCAGAAAAAGGTATAATAGTCGTTGGACTTTCATGTAGTCGACCGTGGTTTGAGTCCCAGACTCAGAGACTTACAACTCACTCTGGGCATGTGTGTGTGCATGCCCAAAGTCCCAAGAGGAGAATGGAGGAGAAGGGATTGTGGCGTGGCCATTCCCCTGGGGAGTGATTTCTCACATTTTATCTCTGTCTCTCTGGAGAGTGCATGTGCCCTATAGCAAATCTCTCTCTCTCTCTCTTTCAATAAAAAAAAAAAAAAGAATTAAAGATATTCACTGCTTTCCTAGTTAGCAATGTTCATTTTATTTTTGAGATGGCAGGGTGGGTGGGGAAGGGCTAGGTACCAATGACAGGTCTCATCACAATCCTCCTCTCAGTCTTTCAGTCAGCTAGGATCACAGGCATGTGTGGGTCTGTCTAGCATGTTCAGATCAACCCCAGATCTGAAGCCAGGCTCTAGCATCACCACACAGTGCTCCACCATGTGCACCACTGCAGCTGGGTTGACAATATTAATTTTTTTTTTTTTTTTTTTGCTGTAGGGCTTGTGCACTCATTAGAGAGAGACAGAGACAGAGAGAGGGAAAGTGAGAAATCACCTTCCAGGGAGGATGACTGTGCCACAATCCCTTCTCCTTCATCTCTCCTCTAGGGCTTTTGTGCACACATGCACATGTGCCCTCTGTGTTTGTCAAGCCATCTGGTCTGGAACTCAAACCACACAGTCAGCCATGTGGGACCCAGCTGCCCCAGCCACCGTGCCAAGGCTGATCCGGCAATGCTTAATTTTTAATACAGATTTTGTTATATTAAACAATAGCTGCAAGTTGTACCATCCTCTTTACCCTTACCTCATTTTGGGGGATTTTGAAATACCACTAGCAAAACCCAGCAGTCATCCCAGCCTTATGCTCAACTCTGCTTTCCCTCATCCCTTACATCCAACCCAACAGAACCTTTCAGGTCTGCACTGAGTGTTCTTGGATTTATCCACTTCTGTCTCTACTGCTTACCTCCTTAGTTCAAGACAGTGCCATTTTTCACCAGGGCCGGTAGCCTCCTCCTGGGCTCCCCATGTCACTTTCCTTTGTTTCCTGAGCTCACAGGCTTTTCCTGGGATGCCCTCCCCCTTCTCCTCCTCTCCCACTCGCCTCACCCCCACTCTCCCAGTGATTTGCTCCTTCCTATTTTTTGGTCTGGCTAAATATCACTTCTTCATTGAAGACCTTCTCTAAAAAAAGATCTCTCCCAGCCTGGCCCACTTGCAATTCCATCTTAATCCCTGTTGATTTTCTTCTCAGCATGTTTCACACTTTGTAATCATTTTCTTGGTTTATTTTGTCTCTCTCCCTCTTTTAAATATAAACTCTGGAAGGGAAAGGACTACGTCTGTTTCCTTGACCACAAATAAAAGTACGGGTACACAGTTATTAAACTGGAATTTCAGATAAATCACAAAGATTTTTCTTTAGTGAACAGTAGAGGGACCAGTTGTTCTGGTTAGATCCAGATCAAGGAGTTTCCTGGGATGTAGGGCTTTCAGTAGAAAAATCAGAGCAGTCCTGGGGAAACCAGGAAAGTTGGTCACCTAAGTGAATGAATGAATGATTCTGTCTTCTGGGTGGCTGGGGTCCTTTGCCAGTATCTTTACGTTGGCTGCTACCAAGAGATCAGAGAGCCTAGTGGCTTAGGACTGCTCATGTGCCTTAGGCCGGAAGTTAGATTTTGGAGCTTTGCTGACTCCTTGAACTTCCATGCCTGGACTGACTCCTAAGAGTTTGGCTGTGGGACCAGCAGTTGGTGTAACGGCTATGTTGCTGGATTCCCACATAGTCGACCGCAGTTCGAGTCCTGGACCCGGTGGCTTAAACTCATGTGCTGAGTTGGGCACGTGTGTGCGTGCCCAAGATCCGGAGAGGAAAATGGAGGAGAAGGAACTGCTGCATGGCCATCCCCCCTGGGGGGTGATTTCTTGCTTTCTGTCTCTCTATCTCTCTCTGTATTTCTGGCGAGAACAGGCACCCTATAGCAAAAACTTCTCAAAAAAAAAAAAAGAGCTTGGCCATGACTTAGCCTATTCTTCTTGTGGCCTGGTCTTGTAGCTCTGAGCAGATGCCTGGACTTGGGTTCATAGAATGAAGGCTCCCCGGCCCAGCACATGGGAAGGGGCTCTGGCCTTGGTCCAATCTCCTGGGCTCTGCTGACCCAGCAGTCCTGGCCATCACACCTGATGATGACTAATGGCCACTTTCACAGAACACCAGCATGCATTTATTGAGTTATTAGGCTGACCACCATACAATGATCCAAAGGCACTTCCACAAAGGTTCTAGTTACTTGACTGAAAATTGAGTTTTCACTTTAACCAACCCCCTCCCCCAATACTACCAGGGAGCAGGAAATTCTCAAGGAAACCACATGAATCCACTCTAAATTATGTTAGCAATGCTCCAGTCTCAATTAGGTCCTGCTGAGTTCCTGGAATTGGGGGTGAAGTGGCTCTTGAGAGGCTCCCAGCACTTGTAGTAGTTCTCGTCCAAGCAACCGGAGGTCTTAAGTCCCCACTTGGTGACAGCCAGACTTAGAGAAGATTCAAACATAAATGCCTGTAGGAAAAGAGGGTGAAGATGAGAAAGAAGAAGCAAGGCAGAAAACATGGCACATCTGAGAACATGTCGAAGGGAGATGTGAGGAGGCAACATTTTTGAGTAATAAATCATGTGTGCCAGCGTGGTGAGGAGAGTAGGCCAAGCCCCAGGTTCTGGATCTGGTCTTTCCACTTCTGAGCTGATGAGACCTTGAGCAAGGCCCTTAATTTGCAAGGCCTCGGGTTTCATTCTGTAAAATGGAATTGGACACCGAATGCCCTCGTAGCGTTATGGAGCTGAATTTGCTAGATCCAAGGACTGAGGCAGGAGAACCCTGGGAATATTCATCTTCTCAGGAGACATCACCATGGTGGCTCTGTCCTTGTGAGGGAGGGCATACTCCCCATGGTACAAGCAAGGAAGCTAAGGCGCAGAGCTGGAAAATGACTTGTCTAACGTGACAGGTTGTAGCAGACCTGAGATTTGAGTTTGGCTTTTCAGGGCTCTGAGCAAGAGGTAGCCTGGGGAAAGGAACAGGAGAAAAAGGAGGAGGTAGAAAGAAGAGAGGGGGAGGAAGTGGTGGGAGTGGCTGAGGCACTTTTAAAGCCATATCCCAGAAGGGTCTAAATGGTGGATGTTCCACTATGTTCAGATGTTTTTTGTCCACAACAGAAAGATTATGCAAATCCTCTGTGTATCTTAGACATTCCAGCTAAATCCCTTGCTCATATTCCTACCCACTATAGCTTAAAAAATAAAAAAATAATAAAAAAAACAAAACTTTACAACTCTTCTATGCTTATATTTGGAAATAACTCTCTCTCTCTCTCTCTCTCTATATATATATATATATATATAGACAGGGCCTAGCCGGCAGGTGTGTGCTGGTAAGACCTCGTTGCTCTACAGGCTGAGATCACCTGGGAGGCCAGGCTTCAACTTCCAGCTCATCCTAAAAGCTGGGTGCAGTGGCCTGTTCCTGTGATCCCAGCTCCCAGCTGCTCAGGAGGCTGAGGCAGGAGGATTGTCAGAGACCCTGTCTTTACAAAGCAAAGATAGGTAGGTAGGTAGATAGACAGACCAGAGGAAAACGATAGAATTCACTTGTGCCACCATCCAGAGCAGTCACATCCATGTTTGGGGTGTTATAATATACATTAGCTTCTTTTTGTCTAAAACAATGAAGATGAGTGGCCCTGCCTGACTTCCTATGACAGGCTTGGTGTGAAGACAGGATGAGAGCATGGGGCAGTGCTATGCAAGTAGGAAAACACCGCTCAGGGGCCAGCACGTGGTACAGAGCTTAAAGCAGCTGGATCCCACATGGCTGACTGTGCAATGTGAGTCCCGGACCCTGCGGCTTGAAAAACACAGCAGGTATCTATGCATGCATGCCCAAAATCCTAAGAGGAGAATGGAGGAGAAGGGATTGTGGCATGGCCATCCACCTTGAAGGGTGACTGCTCACTCTCTCTCTCTCTCTCTCTTTCTTTCTGCCTCTCTCTGGTGAGCACATGTTCCCTATAGCAAACTGGAAAAAAAAAAAAGAAAGAAAGAAAGAAAGAAAAGAAAAGAAAGCACTATTCAGATATAAAGTTGTCATTATGGCCATTATTATTGTCATCTCTTTGCTGATGGTTTTTGAGGAGCCTCAGTGTCTGGCTGGAGCACCAAAACCCCCTCCCAGCTGAGTATGAAAATAGTATTGCATTTCTTCAACCCGGAATAAGGAGAAAGTATATAATGGGTTGTCAGAAAAGTCATGATGTATTTTTCTATGCATTATGACTTTTCTGACAACCCAATAGATGGACTTGGGCCTAAATTATATAATGGAAAGTTGTGAGGAAGACTCAAAATTAGGTCTAGGTAAAACATTGGACCCTTTCCCACCAGTATTTTGGGCTCCCCAGATACCAAAGCTCTCCCACCCCCCAGTTCCTCTATACAGGAGAGCTCAGGGGCCTAGACTTTACCTAAAGTCTTGCTCATCGTAAAACCACCTTGGTCCTGTGCCTCATTGTTGAAGAGCACTGTGCTCTGGTAGCAGTGACTACTCAAAACCAATCGGGGCACCAAAGGTTATTGAGTGGCAACTCTGGGGTAGCTTGTGCATCTCCAAGAACTTAACTGCATGTCAAATCACATCTCCTCAAGATGCACAGTTTCTTTGGAAACTCCGCAGAGGTTCTTGCAAGGAGGAAGAGGCACAAGGCCAAGCAGATGGACCGCTGTACCCCTTTTCCCTCCAGAGCAGCTCCACTAACTCTGGTCCCAGGGCTGGGACTGAAAACAAACTGCACTAGACAGATGGACAGAAAATACTCACTGCTTAGGTAGTTTGCCAGCTAAGCACGGGACCAGGTAGGTCTGTGCTAGAGACTAAGCAGGTAGCACAGAAGGCATTTGCTCAAAAACTTAAAGCAGATTTACATATGATTTAGCAAAAAGTTACGCCTCATGGCCCATAAACTCTACTTCCAAGAATGCAAAGATAAAACAAAATCAAGTGCCGCAGCCAACTGCAATTGTATTCAGCCTCAGTGTTTACAGCTTGACACGGAGGAATACAAAACAGGTTTTAAATCTCGTCAGTTTCATCCCATGCCAAAGCAGAGCAAAGGAAAATGAAAAGATGGCTGAGAATTGCTGCTCACAGCTCTCCCTAGACCATGGCAAAGACTTCCTGATGCTCTTTGGCTCAAGAAGCCAACTGAAGGTGACATTCTGCCTCCCCTACTGCGGTTGCCCTAGGGATCACTTACAAAAAAGCAGAAGACTCTGAGACAGAACATATGTAAGGGGCTACATAAGGATGTGGGAAAACCCTTCTCATGGAATGAGTAATATTCCCTTGCACTTGGACAGTGCTGCACAGTCTGTAAGGTTAACTCAAAACTGCCTGCTGGGTTGGGTATCATACCTTCCACAGATGGATATAATGAAGCACAGAGAAGTTAAGTGTCTTGTTCAAGGTCACACAGAACTAAGAGCTAGGAGTTGAACCCAGATAGGAGTCCAAGTACAAGGTTCTCCTCTACACCACCACTCCAGGACTCTAATGCACATGTAAGCATGTGTGCATATGCACATGTTACATGTAAACACACACACACACACACACACACACACACACACAGAATGGCACATAATTCTCCTTTACTGCCTCTTCCTCTGTGACTTTGGAGAAACAAAAACTAGCCAGCCCTCTCGACAAGGCTGGGGAGCCCAGAGGCCACCAGAGCCTGGCATTGACCTTGCTTACCATGGTTCCATCAGCAATCCTCTCTGGAGCCAGCTTGGCCTTGCTGGCCTTCTCAAAGCAGTCGGCGTCAGGCCCATGGGGGGTCATTGCGCTGTGCAGGCTGCCTCCCCCTGGCAGGAACCCACCTTGCTTTGCCTCGTAGTGGCCTCTGATGAGTCCCATGAACTCACTCATGCAGTTCCCTGGGAAGGTGAACGCAGTATTATTTTCATTATCCAATGTAAAACATCAAGACCTCCCTCAAATTTTATTTTTGCCGAATGCCAGGAAGATAAGCAAATATAAAATTTTTTTATGGGATTAAGAAAGAGTATGGACTGACAGAACAACCACGGAACATTATCAGTGTAGGATTCTTGATAGGCAAAGCTCTACTCCATGGCCATGGAGATTATCAGTAGTTGGGATTCTAGCTGAGAAAAAGTAGGCTAGATTGCAAGAAAACTAGAGCTGGAGAAGATGGCAATAAATTACAGTAAGGAGTAGTTGTATTCCATCATCTTCGTTTATAAGCCGTATCTCAGCTATCTTCTCTCCCAAATCAGAATCCCTTCCCAAATAGCTCCTCTATAGTACACGGTATCACTATTTTTCTGGTTCCCAATCTAGAAGAGTAAAGTGGTGTGTGTGTGTGTGTGTGTGTGTGTGTGTGTGTGTGTGTGTATGTTTGGTTTTGTATTGATGGAAGGTGATGTGGTAAAAAGAACTTTGGACTTGGGCCAGAAGGGGGTGTGTTGGTTAAGGTGCTGGACTCCCACATGGCTGGATGCAGTTCGAGTCCCAGATCTGGTGACTTGAAAATCACACCAGATGTGTGTCCAACATCCTAGAGGAATGGAGGAGAAGGGATTTCAGTGTGGCCATCCCCCAGGGGCTGATTTCTCACTGCTGCTCTCACTGTTTCTCTCTGTTTCTCTCTGACTAGTGTACAACTCTTGGAAAGCCAAATGTCTGACATGGCAAATGCCCTCTCTCCTTCCTTGCATATGAACTATAACCAAGTGCCAAAACATTTCTGTTATCGCCTGTGTAGCTGCACATCCACTCTGTCCAGAAAACAAAATGCTGAACCCAATGAAGACAGCAAGAGTGTGACAGCCCCTGCAGAAAAAGTGAGACCCAGAACATAGCTCTGCATGCTTCTCTGTGAAGCAGAAATAGAGGAGAAGCAGCAAGCACACGGAAAAGAAGCATCAAGTGTCCGTATCTTCAGGATGGTTTTGCTCATGACTTAAATATACTGGCATATTCCTTGCTCTTGTATGTGTCCTCTGGGCCACCTTCACAGCTTAGCTTAAAAAAAAAAGAAAAAGAAAAAGAGCAAGGCAGAATTCAGCTTTGATCTGAATGTGAATTTAGGTAGCAATGAGCTTGGTGATGCTATTTCTACATCGCTTTATGTATTTCAAAGGACAGTGGGAGGGTAGACCTTGGCTTTCTGATTAAAGCTGAATCTAGTTGTCTAAGGTGCGTTAAGATGACTGGAGGCAGTATCTCTACAGAAATAATTCCTGCTTCTATGAAGTCACATCAAAGGAGCACAGATTTTTGGGTATCGCTAAAAGAACATTTTAAATATCTCTGGTAGAACTATTAATAATTTCTAACTTGGTATTCTGTGGGTTTTTTTCCCCCAACTAACTCAGGGCAACCGTACCTTTGACTAGATCTATCCTAGGGCTATATTCACTTTGAGCATCATTAAAAGAATTATAGGAGGCATCTCCTAAGGCCTTTTGATTGCCAGCAGTATGAACTACAAATCAGAATTAAGTAGTGGATTGGGAGCCTACAGCACTGTAGAACTTGTCTAGTAAGCACTGCTGTAGAGCCCTCCACTAGGTGTGAAGACAGGACTAGGCAGAGTTTCTCAACATGTCATCTGTAGATCACCTGCATCAGAATCCCCTGGCTTGCTAGCTTAACATTTAGATTCCCAGATCTCATCTCAAAACCAACTAATCGAACCCTATGGGGGTGGGCCTCGTAGGCTAAGTGACTTTTATGTCCTCTAATGTTCTCCAAATGTGGTCCCTGGGACTATACTATCAGCATCACATGGGACCTGGCCACCAAGGCATATTCTCAGCAACTACCGTGGTGCTGAAGGAGAAATTCTGAGGATGGGACCCAGTAATCTGTGTTTTAACAAACTCTCCAGCTGACTGACACATGGTAAAATTTGAGAACAAGGTCAGTAGGTGGTGTGGTGGTTATGGTGCTGGATCCCACATAGCTGACTCTGGTTCAAGTCCTGGACCTGGTGACTTGAAAAACATGCTGAGTGCATGTGTGTGCATGCCCAAAATCCTGAGGGGAGAATGACGGGATTGCAGTGTGGCCATCCTCCTTACTGGTAAGTGCTTTCTCACTTTCTATCTCTCTCCAATGAGTGCAAGTTTCCTATGGCAAATTAAGGAAGAAAAAAAAAAGAAAAAGAAATCAAGAACCACTACCTCAGGCACATAAAGTAACCTTAGTATAAGAGCAATGTAAAATAGTGAATTAGCAGGGTCGGGTAGGAGCACAGTAGTAATGCAATGGAACCCACATGGGAAAGGTCCTGGTTTTGTGTCCTGGAAACTCCCTGAGCACACCAGGCATGTGTGCTTATGATCTGGGCTGGCTCAGATTGGGGTGGATCACAATGTGAAAACACTGTTGGGGGTTCCTGTCTCTGTCTTTCTCCCACTTTCTCTCTGTTTCTCTCTCTCTCAAGAAAGAAAGAAACTTATACACTTTAAAAAAGAAGAAATAGTGATTATAATCCTGAGCCATCTTCTCTCCTTGACAACAGGCCCTCTGGGGCATTATCTTTAGAAGGACAGTTAGGGCCCTTAATGGGCTTAACACTCTATGGAAAGGCCATCTGTCACCATGACCTATTCACAAAGCAGCTGGTGTCTTTGCGGTGATAGTAACTGGATTGTTTTCTTTCCTCCACCATGATGGTGTCACCTGAAAAGGGGGAGGCTGGCATTTGACCATGAAGTGGCCTTCTTCTATCCTGAGGGCCTTCAGTCCCCACCCTTTACAAATTCCTCCATCACCCACTCAGTGCCTGTTGTATACTGCTGAGCCCTGGCATCCTGGAGCTGGAACAAACGTGGGGTCCTCGGAAAGTTCGTGAAAATTGTATAGTGTGAAAAACCCATACATGCAGTTAAAATATATTTTCTGCACAAAAATAAACTTGTACTTTAATTCCATTTTTCCACACACTTTGAAGTTCCCTCATGAGGGGAAGAATCTCATGTAAACAGAAGGGTCTTGTTTAAACCAAGGAAAGGAGTTTGTTCTCTATAGTGTTCTAGCTGAAATGTATCTTAGAATCTTTCCAGAGCTCTTGTTCAAGGAAAAAAAAAAATAAAAAAAAAAAAAGCACAAAAGCAATCTCCAGGGAGTGGAGAGCACTAGGCTTGATATTCATCTAGCTATTACCCAATTAAAAATGCCAGGCTCATTTAAGTAGAGCCATGAAGTACCTTACTTGTTCTTCGTGATGCAGTCACTTATGAAAGAAGCATTTATTAGATGCATATTGTGTACTGATTATGTACTGAGCACTGGGCTAGCCACAGCCATCAGCAGTCATGAGTGTCTGCTCCCGCATCAGACAGAGGCAATCAGATCCTGACTCTACCACTTAACTAGCTGTGAGCCTTGAGAATGACTCAATCTCTCTGTGTCAGTTTCACCTTCTGAAAAGAAAGAGGTGAATAGTGATAGTACCTATCTTTACAGCTGTTCTAAGGTTTAAATGAGTTAATGATTTTTTTTTGTTTGTTTTAAGTTTTGCTACAGGGCCCATGTATGTGCTTGCGAGAGAGAGACCAAGAGAAGGAAAGTGAGAAATCACTTCCCAAGGGGATGGCCAGGCCACAATTCCTTCTCCTCCATTCTCCTCTTGGGATTTGGGGCATGCACATACACGTGTCTGGCATAATTTCCAAGCTCCCAGGTCTGGGACTCAGACACGTGATCATCCATGCAGGATGCAGTGCCTTCGCCACCACGGCGCCTGCTGGCCCTGAGTTACTATTTTAATATTCTCTGTGTATCAGGGCCATAGAAACTACCCAGTGATAAGTAGCTATTGGTAATCATAATATTAATAAGATAAAACTAGTAGATGTTTAGGTCCTGTTCTAGGCAACAAACAATCTACACAAGTTCCTTCCAAAAGAGAGTCCATCCTCTAGTGTAGACCAGTCTGCTTTGCTTTACGCAGCCAGAATAATGGCAGAAGGCACATTTGACTGGCTCTTGAACTGGATTTTGATAATGAACTTTCCAAAAACAACAAACTAACAACATCCCCACCATCTCCCACCCCTAAAAAGAAACATCTGACATGTAAATAAATGTTTGCTTCACCTTTACTAGTCTTTCTGCCTCCCTTCAGGGTCAGAGAAAGAAGGAGGAAGGCTCAGTCAATGCATCGCTGCCATCCTTACAGAAATTGTGGTATTTAGGCAGCTGAATGTGTAAGAGCAGCAGTAGGCCTCAGAAGGCAGGATCCTAAACTGAAGCCACGGAAGGGCGTCCAGAAACAACCCAGCCATTATTCCCAATGAGTAGTGCCACCACGCTGCTGTCTCTTTGGTTTCCACATGTGTTGGTTCAGGAGAGACTTACTGTGGTAATAAGGAGGCCTAAAGGTCTTGTCGGCAACCCCCCAACGAGGGGGGAAGATGACAAAATCGGCGATGGCTACTCCAGGGCGGACAGACTTGGCAGTCAACACGGTGAAAATGGATGGGTCCTGGGAATACACAGGGAGAGACCGGACACACAAGGGAGGTGACTGGAGAGCGACACACAAGTTACTCGACGTGACGGCATTTTCAAGTAGCCTAATTTCTGATCAAACAACAGGAGTCTGGGCTATCTTCCAGGCGCAGTAATCACTCACCTTGCTTTTTCCTCTTGCTGTGCTAGCAGCAGAATGAATTAACACTAGATAAGAGGATTCTGAGCTACTTTCTCATCCCGCTGAACTGGTATTACATGCAACCCACTACCCTGCGGGCCTGAGAACCAGTGATGTCCGCTCCCCAACCTCAGGTCAGAGTGCCTGTAGCTGAGACGTGCAGCAGGGAGCTCCTGGCAGAAAGACTAAGGTAGCACTAGAAACAGAACAGTGTCCACGTTTTGGTGTAGACGTAGATGAGCTCTTCGGCGGGGATCGCAGAGATTCCAGATGGTGTCTTCAAACAACAAAGTCTGAGCATTGGTTCACCGCTTTCTTACCATTGGTTAACTCTTGGGTTTACACTGTTACATTATGGTTTTGGTGATGGTGGTGTGGAGAGGAAGAGACTGAGAGACATTGTGCTTTTTGAAGAACTTTAGAATTCTTCAGTACAAAACCAGATTCAGTTTAATTGAAATCAGCAATCATATTTGCTTTCAGGTGCTATACTGGGGTCTGGGGATTCAAAGATGGGAGGTGGCAGTTATTGCTACCTAAAAGGATCACAAGTCTTCAAAAAGGAGGTTACATTTGAAGTAGGTCTTGAAGATTAAACAGGAGAAAGAAATAAAGAAGAAAGACAGAAAGAAAGGGAAGAAGGAAGAGAGGAAGGAAGGAAAAAGAAAAGCATGGGGAAGGATAGAGGGAGGAAGGGAAAGGAAAAGACATTTTAATTACAGAAAAGACCTGGAAGCGAACATAGATTTTGTTAAGAGGTGAAGAGGCTAAAACCCAGGGTGCATTGACAGGGAGCCGGCAAGATGTGGTCCTGGAAAATGAGCCCAGAACCAGGTGGTGACCAGCGTCTGATACCGTGCTTCAGAGCATAGGCTTAATCCGAGCATGGGGAGCCTGCACAGTCTTTCGGATGCAGTCGTGGGACAATCAGACCTGAATTTTAGGAAAAGCCATTCTAGTAGTAGTATGGGGAAGACTGAAACTGTATAAATTCAAATAAAAAACCTAATTGCTATTGCTAGGAGAGTTAGCATTTCTTCATCTGTCTTTGGAAATTGTCTGAAATGATTAAAGAAAAGGTAGTGAGGCTCAAATAAAGCTTTCTCAGTGTCTCAGGATCCTTTTTCATGCTGTTTTGGGCTCAGTGTCTCACTTTTCTTTTTCCCTTTGGTTTTATTATGAGTTGCTGCTGTTCAGAAAGAGAGTTTTTGTCCCCCAGAGATAGGCTGAACTGGCTCAGAGTAATCCTTCTGTGTCTGATTCTCTGGCTTCTGCTCTAATTATCCCTCCAGCTTGTGGGTTAAGTTAATCTATTATGAAGTAGGCAGCAAAATGCACCTTCCCCCAGGACCTCAGCACTAGCACTTTATCAAGGATGTGGGGCCTTAGGGGCCTGCCCTGTAGACCAGGGACCTCTTCATGACCCCCTAATTGAGTGAAAAATGTGACCACGTTCACCCTTTAGAATTTTTTGGTTTAAATTCAAGCACTGAACATTTCGAGTAACTTCAGAAGTGAGCTGTCTACTTCATCACTGCCCACAACAGCCTGGTGTGAAGGCCCTGGGGTAGGCAGCCAGAGCACACACAGTAGACCCTGGAGCTTTGTGAGGACACAGATTTATCCAACTCTGGAAAATGTTCTTTTCTCCTCACTCCATCACTAACATTAGCAGTTGGCTGTTTAGGGGGATACATTTTCCACAGAGAGACTAAGTTCGACTCATCTGTGAGCGTGACTGTGAGCTGTTTGCTCTTCCCAAAATTCAGACTGTCGCAGTCTGTGAGGAACTAAGCTGTGTGGGGTGAATGCTGAGTGGCTGGTGTGGCTTCCTCACTACCTATGTTATTCACTCCTTCATCAAAGGACATATGACTCTCTCCTGGGCTCCCAAAGCCAACACTGGGATTTTAAATCTGCAAATGTGGCATGTCTACTGAGCACCCCTCCCACCCAAGGGTTACTCCATCCTGGGGTTTCTACATAGTATAGACTTACTGCGTGGTCAAAGGCCACTGAGTTGATGACCATGAAGTTCTCCAAATTGTACTTGTAGGGAGTATAGTTCCCATGCCAGGCCACAACGTTGAATGGGGATACATCCTAATCACAAAGAACAGGAAGCAACAATCTTAGCATTGAATGTGTTTATAGCTGTGATCTCGCAATATGGACTCGGCATCACAGTCTGTTTTTAAATTAGATTTTATTAATTTAATTATGTCATCCTTTGGGAGAAGTATAACCCTTAATCATTCTGTGGTTGCTTTCACACCCCCTACTAGGCCCTCAGCCACTAACCCCATTTTTCCAGTTCAGGAGCTGCAGCTGCCTTCGGATCGCACGTGCAACAGAAGCACAACACATTCTCTGTGTATTGTCTTTTCAACAATTTTTAACTTAACTCTGGGAGCCTGTGGATGCTAGTGATTCCCAGTCTGGGCTACCTTGTGCTTCCTGGAGCAGAGGGCACTTCCCGTGATGGCACTCTAGCTGATCGTAACCTAGCAGTCCTTCCAACAGACATAGTGCCTGGGCTGGTGAGTTCAGGAAAGGAAAGAAAGTCTGAGAACTTGAGATTCCAGAGTAATGCCAGGGTGGTGCTTCTTGGCCCATCCTAGGTTAGAAGGGAATCAACGTTCTGCTTTAGGAAGGCTGTCCCCACCATAGCTATGGGTCTGTTCGAGGAATGGAATCCAACTCAGTGTTCTAAACTCTTTCATGAAGAGGCATGGTTAGAGTTCAGTGGAATGACTGGAGCTGTTGAGGGACCTGAGCCCAGCCATCCTGGGAAGACATGGCCATCCCTCGGCATGTGGACTCAGGAAGGGAAATATCGGTATAGGACTCCAGCAGGAGCTAGAAGCGTGAGGAAGGGAGCTGCGGGCATGCTGGTAAATATTCAACAGCTAACTGTCTGGAAAGAAAGAAAAAGCTGAGACGCGGTGTTTACTGGTTTCTGGGGCGCTCCATTGCCATGATCACCGGGCAGAGGTGTACATATTTGCTCTTGCAAGTCTGTATATGAATCGGCTCCAGCACCCCAGAGGGGCTACCCAACAGGTCACAGAGGGTTGGAGCTACTGCCAGAAACAATCCTGAATGGTGAGAAGCAGGGA